GACTATTGTTTAATATTTGCTTCTTTCCCAGCTTGTGCAATAAGAAAAACATTTCACTTTGAGCCCAAGCATTTATGCTGTTTTACGCAACTTAAGGGTCTGCCTGCACTTAATGAAGCAGTTGAAGATCACCCAGCTGATTTTGCACTGAAACAGTTGAGCAGTGCTGTGAGGATGCAGCTGTTGTTGGTCACATTTTAAGATGTGACCTTAAAGTATGCTTTATACAGGCAGACTCTCAGTTTACCTTTCAAGCTGAAGTGATTCAGGACCATCCAGGTAGAGAAGCAGATGGACATGACTTATTCCATCCCCAAACCCAAGCACTTGTAGCTGCCATGTAGTCAGAAAGATCTGGAGAGATGATGAGGCAGGTAGTACATTTGATCACTGCAGCTTCATAGAATCATCGAATCATAGAATGGTTAGGGTTGGAAGGGACCTCAAAGATCATCTGGTTCCAATCCTTAAATAAGCAGGAGGTTGAAGGGGGCAGACAATGGGAAGCAGCTCTTCCTGAGAAAGTGCCACTAATTCCACAGGGGATCTGGAAATTGCACACTAAGAGTAAGACAAGAAAAAAGGTTGAACTGGTGAGGCTGCTGGTCATGAGGGGAATGTGGTTTAGCTGAAGGATAGTGTGAAAAAATTATACAAAAAAAAGTGCCCAAACATTTCTATTAAGCACATTCAGAAGGAAAGGAGTTGGTTTTGAGAAAGAAGCTGTGCTCACAGCCTTGCAGCAGACTAAAATATCTCTCTCCCATGCAAAGGGCCACTGAGGGGTTGGACAGAAGGACAGGTAGCACAGACTGCCTCTAATGCCCATGCACAAAGCAAAGCAAGTCCATGTGCACTCTGCAGGCAGGGACAGATAAATCACAGCTGCCTTTCAGTGCCTGTAGCACTATTTCCATGGTGGATTCTGCATATAGACCATTCATGACTGAGAATCTCTCTGCCTCAAAACTATTAGGTTAAAACCTCCTTCATCTTATCCTGCCTACATCTCAAATGTACTGTCTTGCTCATGACGAGAGCAGGAGCTCAAGGAAAACCAGTCTGCTGACCTACTGTGGGTCATTTTGGAGCTGACAGGGGAGACAGTTCAGGTATGAGGAGGATGGATGCATTCAGATCTGGTGGGAGCTGGGTCTCCTTCAAGATCAGAGCTTTGTGTCAGGGAGGATTAACACAAATTTGGAGAAAATTAAAGAATACCTGAATGCATAGCGGAGTTAAACAGAAAGCTAGTTCTGTCCAAGACATCTGAGAAGAAATTCATCACAGCTGATTAACTACCCAAACCTATTCTTAGTCCATGCAATAGATATTGATGGGGAACTAAATGCAAAGGAAGATATTACAGAATTTAGTCAGTTGGTGCATGACGTCTTGATAGTTACTCTGCACCCTGAACATGTTACATTTCTAACATGATTAAATATTAGTACTGGGAAAGCGGTGGACAAGACAAGAAAATTTTTACCCATCCTTAGTGACAATATCCTAATTAACAAACAAGCCAAATATCAGAGAAATTGCTCAAAAGAGAGACCGTTATGGTGAGCTTAGTTCTGGAAACTAGTTTATAGGACATGCACACTGTAGAGAGAAAGAAGAACCCTGAAAATCCTTTTGTTGCATTTTCTAAACTGCTTTAAAGAACAGCCTGGTGAATGTTGTTCAGTTCTCATTAGTAACAGAGTTCTCAAAATCCCAAGTTCTTGGGCCACAAAGATGTTACATTACAGTGAGTGGGAGAAATCCATTTCTATGAGAATATGAGAATCATTTTCCTAAAGCACCATCATGGATATCAGTTTTCAAAGTCTAAAGCAATTTCTTGGCCCACAGCGATTTAGAAGGAGCATATAAAAATGCAAAGAGGTCTCAATAATGTCAATCTAAGTGAGTTAAGTGTAAACAGCTCTACAGAATGATGAAAACTGCAGAAGAAACGATCTCTGATACCACTGGCCTCTCCTCACACACACCCCCCCACGTTATTTCTGCACTTAATGAAGGCAAAAGCAAGACAATGGGCTAAAAACCGCAGCATGTAAAATATGATTTCTGATTTTTGAGTATAAAAAGCTTCTTACTGATCACATCAAACATGTATTACTCCTCCATTATTAAATTAAAAATTTACCAATTTCTCCTCTTGAAAAAAACAACTGCTGTTTTCTCAAACTATTTAAAACCCTGAGCAGATGTAGAGCTTGCATCATTGCAACCACACACAGAAATACTTCCACTGTGTAAGAAGAAAAATATAGTCTCTGAAGCTTAATTCTAAGAAAAAAAATCTGCTGGTGTTATGCCAATTCATGGTCTGTGGTGTTGGATTCTTTCTAAAACAGCCCTCAGAAGCACCCAGCTCAATAGAATGAGGCACAAACTTTTCACTATTTAATTGATACCGGGTTAAGTGCAAAATTTAGTTGAATGTGGTTAAATGTGGTAGCAGAGCATAATAGATGTTGGCTCCATCTATTTTAAGAGCCAGGATGCTTCCTCTTTCAGAGGTTTGGAGATATATGATGAGTACATTCCAAACTCATCCTGGGCAGAGGCTCCAGTCTGCCTTATCCTCCTCCAAAACCCTGGTTTTCAAGCAAAGGAAACTTTCCATGCAGATCCAGAGTGATGGGGATCTTCAGAGTCCAGTAGATGACTGGGCATACCACAAAGCACATTTTCCCTCAGTACACCACAGGTATTGAATACCCAATGTCAGTGAAAGTCAGCTCTTACCCTGTGGGATGTGTTGATACTAAATTTAGGAAAAAATGCCTATCAGAAGGGTGGACTTAGGGTTCGGCTAAACATTTGGAGTTTGTTACCAAGTGCTTAATTTCTTCATTTTAAAAACTGACTTATGAAACACACACATTCAACAATACCTCAAAACAACTGCCAACTAAACTGTGCAAAGTCCACACTCCAGCACCTAAAAGAGGTCACAACTTAAAGAGAAAAACATTTCCTGATCTTTTAAATCAGAAGACCTGCCATCTTAACTACCCTTTGCCCAGCTGTTAGCAGATAATGTGCGTGTGTCTTGGTCAGTTTGCCATTGCCCTAAATGATGAATCCTTCTAAAATTAAAAGGATGTGCTCTTTCTCTCTGGCTTTAATTTCAGAAGCCAGGAAAGTATCTCGTGGTAGGAAGTGTTACTGGGAAGTTATTGTTGTAATTGGCTGTCTACATAATTTTTACTTTCCCTTCCTTAAGGGAATGTTTGCTAGACTAAATAGAATTGCAGATATCTCTATTGTTTGGGCTATGAAACGGATACCGTCAGCTGATACATGGGAATAGAATATAAGATATTAAAGTGCTTTCTGGATTCTTCCAGGATAAACATTTTGGGTCAGTTAAAAAAAAAAAAAAAAGTGGATAAGAATTTTGATAATATATAAGAGTTAGGAAAACGGTTTCTTGATATTTGTTATAAGTAAGCAAAAATAGAGAGCAGAGTAACAAGATGCAACATTTATTTGCATATTGCAAAGGTAAAGAAGAAGTAATCTACCCAGATAAAAATCAGCTTTAAATGTGACCTCTTCTTTGTAACAACTTGATAACCAATGGAATTGTTTCCCTTCCTGCTGCGTTTTACTTCTTTCTCATTTTCTGTATCTGCATTTTATTCAGTTCAGGCAACAAATTAGATTGGTCAGTGTTCCTTTATGTTCAAAGACATCTGGAAACGTGTACAATTATTAAAGATATAACTACTGCCACCAAAATCACACTGGGACATGTCATATTAATTTACATTTTCATCTCAAGTAATATCTCATCCCTTTCTTTGAGAAATCTTTCCTCCAATGGTGAACTACCATGGCTTTATATCCCATTCTCCAAAATTCTGCAATAGTTTAACATTAAAGGTTACAGTAAATTGCCTGCAGTTTCCTTTCCTCATTCTCTCTTCCCAAAATTCCACCCACATCTGGTTGGCTGCCTCCTTCACTACAGCCAGGCAGTCCACTAGGAAGATAATTCATCTTTTCTACCTTCACAGAATACTGGGAATGCAGAATCACTCACTGCAATGTCACTTCCAAACGTGAAACTGGTAGCTAGAGACAGACCATGAAATGTTATCGCTTCTCAATAGCAAGCGAGTGGGCTCCAGTGTATGCAGAGCTGTTTGATATCTCAGCCCTGGATGTTTCAGGACATGAAGTGACTCGATTACAGCTGCACCCTGTATTTCTGTTTTCAAAGCTTCTGTACAATATTGCCCTGTCCACTCTGCTTTGCATTAGCACAACACAATAACATATTTTAAAATGTATGTTCGTTTATCAAAGAAACAGACATCTCACACCTGCCAATACTTTAATTACAAAAAAACACATGAAGTAAAGAGTAAGATTGTATCAACTGAGTCCTAAGGATAGGACTTTTGCTAAAGCCCAATTGATCTGCACATGAAGGAACAAACGAATGACTTCGATAATGTCCATGAATAAACTAAAGATTTCAGGAAATTTCTAGGCCTTTTTTGTAACACACTGCAGAGTCAAGCAAGCTTGCCCATGTCAACATGAATCACAGTGATGGGCAGGGGACAGGCAGCAGAAACCGCTTGGTGCGATGGTAACATAGAAAACACATTGTAGGTACTCAGGATCAGACCATGGCTCTGTGGGGTCAGCAGGATGCCAGACCTCCACTCTGGGGACCTGCAGAACCATCAATGCTGGTACAGTAGTGGGTGACAAACTGGCAGGAACTAGCAGAGCACAGAGTGACACAAAAGACGAAACTATGGAAAGATATTAGAAGAGTCTCTGAGTTAAGTAAAGGGTTTATGTTAAACTGTCAGCTCATGTAATTATATGAATAATTTCTTTTCAAACCACGACATTAGCATTTTCCCCTTGTGTTCCTGCTGCAATTCCTGCACTATTATTCCTCCAGTCACAAACGAGAGCTGATTAAAGGAGGTACCCAAGCAAGAAATGGCAAACCATCTCACCTATGACAGACACACATCCCAGTGGAGCAACAAGGGCAACGGGGACAAATCCGTAGGCTGTGAAATTGCCCACCTCTCCAAGCCCAAGGAGGGTAATCCCACACCACCATAGCTTGCTCATGTAGTAGGGCTTCGGGTCCGTTCGGCAAGTCAGTCGGAGATGAGCACATTTCTAGAAAATTAATTGTTAGGAACAGGCATGAAAAGAAAGACTTCCATTGTGTTCTTATGTCTGACAAAAGCAGAATAATTAAGGGGGCTGTCAACTTCAAATTCCAGGTGCGTCAAGGTTTCCTTTTTAAACTTGACTTCCAGCTTGTTGTTGCAGACACAGTGCTTTGTGTTAACTCAGTGCTGCTTTAGATGTGTTCTTTCTTAGCCGTGGTGGAAATGACTGAAAAATTAGACCTCTGAATAAACCTGAAAAATATTAAGCAACTACTAGATAGTGCTTCCTAGCTGCCACTGCACGCCCCTGTTCTTCTCTTAAAGCAAAGTTCCGCAGTTGTGCTGTGAATCTGGCAGCAGCCAAAGGCAAGAGACGGGGCAGAATCAGAACTGCAGTAACAAACTGGAAGCAGAGGACCAGACAACATGGTATTTCTGCTCTCTAATACATATCCTAGCCAGAAATACAATGTAAAAATTAAAAAGGCAGCACATAACCACATCTGGTGTAGGGA